ACCGTTCTCCACCTTCCGCTTCCGGGTCGTCTCAGGAGTCGCCTTAAAAGGGAAAAAAAAAAAAATCCAAGTTTGGCACTTCTAGCCATGTAGAGTCATAGAGTTAAGGGGTCCTGGACCTAGACTGCGTCCTTACTTGGCCCTGTTTCCTTTCCTTAGGGCCGAGCTGCCTTCTCTAGCCTTGCTTCTCAGACAGCTCTTCTGGCCTGAGGGAGCGAAGCCTCCAAAGGGATAACGTTTCCCAGCTGCCCGGCAGCCGGAACTCTAGGACTTAGCCTTGACCGACCTGAAGGTGGGAAGAGTTAAAGGAACGGACAAGGGAGGCGAAAGGTGACTAAAGTACTTCCGGGAGGGTGCCGGAAGTACTACTCCTGAAAGGGTCCGAGCGAGACTCGGGTTGCCTTCCTCGTAGTCCGGGTGTTGGGAACCCGGAGTGCGGGAGACCTGAGTCCAAGCCGATACCACTGTCGTGACCCCTGGCAAGTCCCTTTTCTGTGATTTCACTGGCTCAGCCTTGAGTAAATCGCTCAGCCTTGAAGTGAGTCGCTGAGCTACCCCTCAGCATCCAACCTGGCCAGTGGAATTGCTCGGGCAGCGCTCCTGGGAGCCGAGGCCCGGAGAGTAAGTGTGGGTCTTTCCTCTGGGATAGATTGAGAGGGAGGAGAGCAGGGGACTGAAAGTAGAAAGGACATGTCGGAGTTTTCTTGGTGATAGTGGCTTTCGCCTTCTACGTACCCAAATCAGAAATACGGCAGATGCCGCATATCAAGCCTGCTCACCGCGACCTTAACTTTTTCCGCTTTCGCGGTGGTCACCTAAGCACTGCCTGTAGTGTGTTAAGAGATTGAACAGGAGCCAGCAGGTCGCTTAGTGGTTAAGGTGCTTGACTCCCACGTGGGTGACCGCTGTTCTAGTCTCAGACCCGGGGCTGAAACACTGGGCATGGTGCCTGCGTGGCCAAAAATTGGGGTGTGGCCATGGCGGGAATGGTGGTTTCTCGCTGTCTATAGCAAAAGCTCTAAAATAAATAAGTAAAAAATAGAGATTTAACATTTATTTTGTGTGACTGTATTAGATTTTGGATGTACAAGCTTATAAGACATACACTGTGCTGAGTGCTTCGTTTTCTTCATCTCATTTTATTAACAATGTTGAGTTATTTTTTTATTTTCCCTGGGGCCTGGAGAAGTTCAACAGTTAGGAAATAGCCAAGATAGGATTTGATTCCAGGCAGTTAGACTTCAGAGCTCACATTCTTAACCAGGACACTATGTCAGTCCTCAGTAAAAGACGCCTCCTCACCTTCAAAACAGCCCTGGATTCTGAACCTGCCATCCAAGGGACTCAGGAGTTGACAGTCTCTACATTTCTCACCACCCTGGGGCAAAATCCACTATGTCTCAGGCCACCAAGAGGAAGCATGTCGTGAAGGAGGTGCTAGGGGAGCACATGGTGCCCTCCGACCGGCAGCAGATTGTGAGGGTAAGTGGCATTGGGCACAAGCTGCTATGCCCACCACCTCCACCCTTCCAATTCTTTTGGGCTCCTGGGTGGGCCTAGAATGTAGTGCTGTTCAGAGAGTGTTTGATCAAACTGATTCTTCATGTCATCTGGACCAGGTACTCAGGACACCAGGGAACAATCTTCATGAGGTGGAGACAGCCCAAGGGCAGCGCTTCCTGGTGAGCATGCCCTCCAAATACCGCAAGAATATCTGGATCAAAAGAGGTGAGAGAGGCAGCCAGCCCTCTGGGAGTCAGAACCATTTCCTGTGGCTTCTTTTCCCTCCCAGTTACTAATAGGTCTGACCCTGCCTTTTCTTTTCTCACCTGTAGGGGACTTTCTCATTGTTGACCCCATTGAAGAGGGAGAAAAGGTGAAGGCTGAGATCTCCTTTGTGCTTTGCAAGGACCATGTGCGCTCTCTGCAGAAGGAAGGGCACTGGTAGGGTGGTCCCCTTCATCTCTGGCTCTCTGGGTTTTGAGGGGATTGACTTCCTAGCTAAGAATTAGGGGAAGAAGGATAATGTCCTTCCAGACAGGAACACCTGGAGACTGCTGAGAGCTTTCTCTGTCTTCTCTGACTCTTCTTTTGACCCTGGCTCTCCTTTTGGCACAGGCCAGAGGCTTTTTCTGAAGTGGCTGAGAAACAGAACAACAGGAACAGGTGAGAAACAAGCCTTGGGATGGGGAAGACATAAATTATGGGTTTATGCCTTGGTGCCTTGAGTGAAAAGTAGAAACCTACTGTCTCTATATAGAGTACCCTATAGGGTACTTTGTGGCAGCTCCTAAGGATCTGGTATAATACAGGGTTACATGTGTGGTCTCAAAGTCTGATGCCCCAACTTTGCCACCTAGAGCTGAGTGACTTTAAGCAAGTTATTTAATGTCTTAGGACTCTATTTTTTTCATATGTAAAATGGGAGGTTTGTGAGGACTAAAGGAGCTAGAGCTCATAAAGCTGCTTAGTACAATATCTGGTATGTAATGGGGCATTAAGAGTTGATGATAGAATCGTTACTTTTCCTACATTGTTTGCTACAATGGCTATAGCAAACTTAGGCTTAGGGGGCAGTCTTTAGCCAGCTTCCCCTACCGTTCTGAGTCTGTCCTTCCTTTTAGTCTCTCTCTCTCTTTTATTTATTTTATTTTTAATGCTAGAGGATGCTTGCAAGTGTACAAGGAAAGATAGAAAAAAGCAGAGGCTCCCTGCAGTGAGGCTTGGTCATGCTGTAATCTTTTTTTCCTCCAATTTGCCATCCTATCAGGATCCTGGGTACCCACATACCCAGCATGTTTTCAACACTCTGGGTTCAAAACTCAAATCCTGGTTGGCTTTTTCTACACAGCACTTAACCAGTGTGTCATAAGACCAGCCTCTTGTTTTAGTCTTTCAGGGCGTGCTATACTTTAGCAGGCTTATGGGGCAGTTATTTCTGATTGGCCAAGTGGTCCTCCTTTTTTGGGACTCTTTAATTGTGATCTTTAATTTTCCCTGAAGGTGTTAGGCTAATTCTAACTTCTTTCCCCCACAGACAAACTCAGCCAGAACTCCCAGCTGAGCCACAGGATTCATCAGGAGAAGAATCCAGTTCTGAAGATGATTCTGACCTCTTTGTTAACACCAACCGCAGACAGTATCATGAGAGTGAGGAGGACAGTGAAGAGGAGGAGGAGGCATCCTGAGGCCCACTTCTCTGTTTACTTGGGGACTAATCCCTGGTTCCTCTGGGCTTGGACATTCCCAGGGTGCTCTGCACATCTTGATCTCTGAATGGGGACAAGGCAGGGCCCCTCTGAACTGACCTTCTGACCTAGGAGAATTAAACCCCTGGTGGGTGGTAACTTGTGCTGGTGTCTACGTGGCTCTCTGTGGGGAGGGAAACTTGTGGTGAAGTAAAACGCTACTTTGTGGAGGCATTGTGGACTGAATGGAAAAAAATGGGGAATGGGTAGAATCCTTCTCAGGTGGTTTGTTATTCTTTCCTCCTTCCATCCGGCTCTTGGAAGTGCCAGGTCCTCTGCTATACCTCCTTGCATCTGTTAACCAACTGGGAGAAGTCCTGCTTCATCGTCTGCCCTCAGCTAACACTGACTCAAGCATTCAGGATTATAGTTCTAGGACCTGGTACCCACCTGTCCCTCAGAGACACTCAGGATCAACCCCACGGTGCCTCGTGAGCTGCTTTCC